AAAAATTCAGAATGGAGATAATTCTCAGGAGAGGATCTATCTAAATAACCCTTATATAAAACCTTGTAAATCAGGGATCAATAAATTTGCTGTAAAATGAAATCCAGTTTCGTTATGTTTTCAAGAGCTTAATAAATTATACTTTTCAACGGTTGCTTCTGTAATCAGCCAGCAGTTGGTTGAAAAAAATATAGTGTTCGTTTTCGTTGATTTCTTATAAATGCTTAATTTTCGGTTGATAAAGAAACTACTTCTGAAAGTAGTTACTATTACAACATGTGTAGGACCAGACAGTTAAAATATAGAAATGCTGCTAATCAATCTACCTTTGGCCATTACCATAATAATGAATTAGCCACTCCAGAGTCCTTCGATTACTAACTTAAGGTTGTACTGATGGAATGAGTGTTACTTAAAGTAATATATGAAATTGATTTGTTTACGAAAACGTTGAATAAATGAATGCAAACTGTTAGGAGTTATTTATGGACTATTATTTCATACATTCTTAATGGATAATTATTAACTACATATATCTTTTTATCATAAGCTTTCGTTTGACCTATTGGTTGCCGTCATACTATTTACCATTCTTAATTTATTCCCAATTTATAAAATACGGTCTCCTATACTCACAGCCATTTTTGGTTTGATCTTGGTATAATAATTAGCTGTCATCTTATGGTGTGATGAGGTCGAGTCTGCTTGTATGCAAACCACGTATGTCTAAAATATACGATTAATATGGCGAAAGCTAATATTTTTGTTCTGCACTAAACGGGCTGGGATAGGCAAGAAGTTACCATTCAGAACACCAATACGAGTCCCCACAAAGCTGCTAGTGCTGATCAATGCATTATTGGTTTATTGTGGAACAAGGACATGGAAGTCGGTATTCTAATTATTGATTTGTCACTTGATATTTGACAGAGCATAAGAAATAACAGATTGAGGCTATGTAACTGCCAACCCTATATCGTTGTTGTTTAACGATAAACTACTAACGAATCAGCATTCCCCAATGACTTTGTATCAGTGTCAGAAATATATTGATATTCAGTAGTGGAAGTAAAGTATGATTGGTCACAGTGTGGACGCACAAACACTTAGTCTAGTGAATACGTGGTATCCTTTACTCTCATTGATTTGTACTCCGCACTCATTGAGACTGCTTGTAGTTGTATTGAATAAATATTTATCTCGTTTTAACCTGGTTCTCTATTCTGAGTCGTGAATCCTGGATCTGATATAACATGGCTGGCCTCATTATCACACAACGCATCATCGTAGTATATACGAAAGAGAAAATATCTTAAACCATCTGTTATGCCATATAGATTTACGAAACAATTAGTTCTCAAAAATGGAATGAAACCACATGACTTAACTACTTTTTAAATTGAACGCTGATAGTCCCACTTGACCTTGGTTATAATTTTAGTTAACAGCTGATTTTATTTGCCAATACAATCTGGACTTTTATCTAATTCCACTGCAGCTGTGGGTAACTACAGTAATTACAAGATAAAGTGTCAACCGACAACGGATTTTGAATAGACAGATGTTCTCTCAAGATTAATTGGTTCCCATGCAAAACAAGAAGAGGAGGTGCTTGTAACTACTATAGACGTTGAGGCTGAGGTTCACACAGTATTAGCAGACGCAGTTTCCGGACTTCCAATCACAATCGAAGCCATTAAAGAAGCTAGTGAGAAGGATAATGCGTTGAAGGTTGTTTGCCGCCACATACTCAACAAGTAACGTTTATCTAGACTACACGGCGAGCTTTTACAATATTTTCGTCGACGAGATTCTTCGACAGTTATTGATTCGTGTATCACGTTTGGCCACCGTATCGTTATCCCCAGAAATCTTCAACACCAAGTCCATGGCGGGCACCCGGGGATAAGTAAAATGAAGTCATCAACTCGGAGCTATGCATACTGGCCGTCAATAGACCATGATATAGCACAAAAATATTGGAGTTGTTGGTCCAACAAAGCTGAACCGCAACCATGGCCGAAACCGGACGGGCCTTGGCAAAGAATACAAGCCGGTCCAATACAAGGCAGAAATTATTTGGTTGTTGTCGATGCTTTCACAGAATGGCCAGAAGTATATGACATGCCGAAAAGGACATCAGAGAGTACAATAAGAAGATTGTCAGGATTGTTTTGGTGTTCTAGAGATCTTAGTGACTGACAACGGCACTCAGTTTATTTCATTCGCTTGTGCAGTGAAAATGGCAGATCGCATCTACAATCTCCTCCGTACCATCCTCAGTCGAACGGCCTACCAGAAAGGATCGTGGAAACAATAAAAAGAGCACTGGTCAAAGGGGGGAGAGGGTATCCCAGAACAAGTGATCAGTAAGTTCCTAATAGAGTTATTCCCAATCCGACAGTACCAGAAGGAAGGTCATCAGCCGAGTGTATGCGTGGAAGAAAAATCCGGACAGTCTTTAACAGTATGTGGCCACCCAGAAACACAAATAAACTCACTAGTGAGTATCGTACGGTCACTAGTAGCTTCCAGGTGGGTGGAAGGATACTTGTCAAATCGTGTCAAGGTGATAGGGAATGGGAACCAGGTATTATAGAATGTCGGATCGTAAGTGTACTATACCTAATCCACAGAAATGTTGGAACGTGTATAAGACATATAAATCAAATTCAAAGGGACGGCAGTACATTGATCCCATAAAGCCGACTCCCGTTTCAATTGCTCGTGGATTCATCTCGAAAAGCCCTCAGGAGGGTGAATGTAGGAGATAAAAGACGCAAGGGCAAATTTTGAGAGTGATGAACCGCAGGGGGAATGAGGTAATGAAGTTTCAGATGGATCCGAGAAAAGTCTTACGCAACAGACTTAGAGGAAGATGCGAGGACGGTCTACGGGTGAACTCGAGGAAGCTCTAAGCACAGAAAGAGTCAAAAATATTCCATCCAGTCATCTTTTAGAAGAATATTCCAGAACCCCTACGTGTAGCTTCCCTAGTGAACGGATACTAATAACCCCCTGTGTGCGGATTGGATAACTATAATGACGATTCCGTTTTTCTGAAAACTAAATACCTAACAGTTTTGAACCATAAATGACACTGATTAGAATAACATTCCTTTAACTTGTCTTCTCATTTGCGACTTGGGAGGGTTCTAGCGTTCGACATATGAAAAATCGAAGTCCTAGATATAACACTTATCATATTCTCTCTCACCTGATTTGACTTTATTGCCAATAAAAATATCTTAATAAGGTAACGTACTGATCTATATCAGCTGAGGCTATACGAGATACTAAAAACCAAATGAAGACATGACAAAATAAACGTAGTTGTAACTAAATACAAGATCTCGTAATAGATGGCCGAATGTTTAGAACGAAGTCGTACTGCCAACATGACTATAGCATAACGATACTAAGGTGGTTTATTTAGACCGGGATTTCTCGAGATCCTCTCCTACAAGTGTCAATCCCAAAAGTAGCATACCTCACCTAGTCCCACTGGTTTCTGTAATGACAGAGAAGAGTGGAAAACACATAGCTATTATGTCAGCCAACTACGCTTTTGTCATCTGAAGTCATGCTCACAGGTTCCTCAGTAAAAACTATCCTTCCATAGAGTGGGTAATTGAGAAGTAATAACTTCCCACTTACTGTAACAGAGCTCGAAGGTATTAGTCAGATTTATGATATAGTTAATAACTACTCACCCAGACCTCACTGCTGTACAATGGTAGTCAGGATCAAAATGAGTGATTTCAAACACAACATCCTAAATTAATTTCCAAAGTTTGACCTACAAAATAGTGCCATTAAACAAACTGAGTTTCTAGTTAAGAACCCATAGTTAGATTAACAAAAGATCTGTACTTCAAAATATTTCCAGAGAAAATTAAAAATCCAACAATTCTCATCGTGACAGTAATGCACGAACCACTGTAGATCAAATATGTTTGCTGCTACCATAAGTTCAACCACGAAGCAGAATTAAAGCAAGAAACACACAGATATTTCCAGATATATGTAATACCCAGATAATTAAGAAATTTTACTCAATAGATTTAAGATGTTCCTCACATTTCATAATGTTGTTCATTTAGTAAACTTACTGATGCCAATGACTTTTGATAACTAGTTTGCTTTGTCAAGGATTTAAAAATATGTAATAAAGGAAAACCGCCGTTTCACTAGCATTCAAAAGAACGGATCTTAGACGCCGCAGTAAGAAATACAGCGTTTTTATATTCGCTCAGTAGAATTCGAAACATCTTACTGTTCATGCATTATATCAACAACCTAACCAGGACTCAATATTTTATTTATTTGAACACATAAATACCGCATTTTTACTAGGTGAGATCATGAGTCAATCGAAGCTAGATCATCATGGAAAACCTAAAAGGCCGTTCCTTCCTCCTATGGAACCCCTCGGCTGTGCGCATCAACGATGCCGCCTTGCGAGATTCAAGCAAAAATATTGGTACAAAAAGGCAGGGAATACATATGCACCACAAAAGTCACTTGATTTGTGTGGGAAGTGATACTGCCTTAGTGCCCAGACTGAAACAGATGGTTTCCTTAGGTCACACCTGGAGCCTTCGACCTAAAGGTCTGACCCACAAGGCAAGGGAGCAATGTAAGGAGATGCAGTTTCACAATAGTCGGTGACCAGTAATTGGTTCATACGCCATTTGTTTTCTCAGGATACTGGAGCCTATGTGCACAATTGGTTTGGAATCAGGGTTTCCCAATAGCCCTAGGTGAACCCTCCGCGTCCACCAACCCGGTTGGAGCGCCAAACATTCGCTTTCGTCCTCTCTGTTTCACAAACACCCCCACCGCGAGAAGACAGTGAGTAGGACTTCCCTGGTAGTGGCTGTGCACACGTTGCCACGTGAGAGCATTTCGAGAGGTGACTCTCCCCAACCCTCGGTCGTACAAGGGCACTTGGTGGCAAGGATCCAATAGATTAAAACAGAACGCGCGCCATCGATTGTAGGAAATATGATGTTTACAACTCAAATTGCTAGTAACGTAAACCATGTATTTGTAAATATTGCTGATAACCAACACTCCGAAATTAGAACATTGAATAAAGAAAACTGATAAAGAAAATAATCCATCAAGTTAAATCACCCGAAAGTAAACATATATTTTAAAGCTTTCTATACGAAAAATGAGTTGATTGCAGAGAAAAAACAGATGCTCGACATAAATATCAACTTAGATTATACAAATTGTTATACGGTAAAATTGAGTAAAAAGATTATGTCCATAGCTTTCTGTATTCTCAGAATACATAAAAATTAATTGATTATTCATTTTATTTGCGTGTTAATTCATACACAGCTAGTACACAAATAATAGGGAAAGCATATATTGTCTGGAATACTCCATAAATTAAAATGGGTGAAAAATAGTTTGGTTTCGTAAAGGACTAATCATCAATTTGAAACCTGTGTTATTTGAGAAAGACATGAATAAACGAATTTTATTTGGCTGGTTCCAGTACATAGCGGATATATGGCACATCAACATCTTTATCATTCTCATCACTGCAACAGACGTCAAATACCAGTACTTTGACATGGGGAGGTATTTTGCGTTTGTTGACTACTTCCACCAGATCTTTTAATCTGAAAAAATACACATTTAAGCAATAAAAAACTGAATAATCATTCTACGGAACTTTGATATTTTTTTAATCACTTAGCATTAAAGTAGTAATGAAAGAGAATTCAGTAATCACCCCATAAACTAGCGGCATGGGCTCCTTGTATGTTACTCCAAGATTTGCGATGTAATGATATTAATTTGAAATGAAAACATTCAAAGAAATGATAGACATGGTTCATGTTTAATATACAAAAATGATTCGAAACATCTAACTTTAGACAAGTTAGCCCCCTAACCAGTGCTTTCATATTACACGTATCCGTCAGTCAGTCAGTCGGCTACGACGTAGGACTGGGCACACATATACATCGATCAAAGTCTCCATAGTATTATACGTATTATTCAAACAGGTTTTGAGTGAACAGAAAAAGAAAATACTATGTGTGAAACATATGAAAATATACAGAGAGAATATATTCACGAAATGTCAGCTGGTTCGAAATGATTGTCCTTGGTAGACAAGAACAACAATTGAACTAAAAACTAAATTTCTTTAATGTATTTAATGGCTGTAAACGTGGTTCTTAAAAAGGATATTTATAGGTTAATAGCATTCAACTAAAGGTGTCTTCGAACAATCATTCGCATATTTTGAAGTCAATGAGATAGAAATTCTGAGGTTATACCCATAGTACAAGGTAAGGATCGTTAATAGATAGATAATATAGCAAATATACATCTACTTAAATGGTGAGAACATGTTTTCCGTATTATCATCCACCAACTACCTTGATGAGCGATAATGGATGGTGTGGTAGTCTAGAAGCTAGCGGAGTTCGAATTAAGACTTGGGTATCAGTTCATGAAAATATTGGCTGTTCGACTGGCTAATATAGGTAAATGTAGACTACTTGGTTGGGGTAGGCTTGATCATCGTAATCAATGGTTGGCTTTTAAGTGACAGTGCTCGAAATCGTTTCCAATGACGCAAATACATTTACTCCTTGTCTTGACTTAGTTCCTAAGTTTTTAAATTACCTTTTAAAATTACCCCACTAATCCATAATTATTTCCTGAATTGTAACTTCTATAACTAATCCTTTAAACTACCATTATTACGGTTAATATTTCTACTAGTCTAGGGTTTGTTCTAACGATTTTGTCTTGTTGTGCTAATAGTGCATGGCAACTTGAACCGATGTACAAATATACCAGGTTCTGCGCTGATCATGACTGACTGACGAATAAACAAACCTTTTTTTAATATAAGAGTATGACGAAAATACGATGTATTTCTGAACTACCATACTTTACTCCTTAACTATTACACTGTCATTCAAAAGTATCAATCCAGCTCAGATATATCCGGACTTGACACTTCATTTACACATGGTAACTGTGGCCAAGAATTAACACACAACACATATTTAATACATACATTTTCTAAAACCATTTTGCTAACTAGCAAACTGTTGAAATTTCAGTGCAATAATTTCATGCCAAAGAAAATTTAAATTAATGTTTTTAGTGACGTTGATTAAATGTGAAGAAATTCGAGTACTTTGCTTCTATCGGAATTATTTGATGATGTTATCCAGAAGGACAACAAAAGCTCCAGAACTAAACCATCCAGATTAGAGGACGAAACTCTACTGAGGTCATCTATGTCAGCTCAAATCTAAATTCTTGTTTTCGACAACTAAGTAGTATCTAATAAACAACATTGGTACTCCATACTCTGAGAAACACATGGAACGAAAACAACACATCCACCACATCAAAAATTGTTCTGTCACCAACTAATCTACAAGTGATTGATCTGATATTGAATTTGGTGGCAAATTAATCTCATAAATTTGAACCATTTAATTTACATATATTGGTTATTTGGATTTTCCCATTGACGTTTTCGACTGCAATTAACCGACGTTTTTGGGGGTATCTGCCTAGATGATGGCCAGCAGTTCTATTCTGTTGCCGTCCACCATCACCATTCATCTCTGCTCAAAAAGTGCTTTCGAACTATTTAGTTCAAAAAAGATATACATCGTTGGTCAACTGTCACCTAAATACTATGCGGTTATCTAAAATATCCGTAAAATATGAAACAAAACTATGAAATGAACTTACGACATAACTAGACGTTCCTTACGCTTTGCTTCTGGCATGAAGAATGCATAGAGCATAGAAACATCTTGCGATAGCATTGTTACATTTAACTTTAAATTATCCTAAAATAACGAGAGTGAATTAGTTTGGATATGAAAGCAGGCTTACTTTGAAGTAATCAATTAAACCTTGCAAGGTCATAGGACCTGAAAGTTCGAACCGATCCCATAAAGAAAATTCTGTATCGTAGTATTTTGACTTGATAGGTGCTACGGGTTCATAAAATGAAGTAAAGGGCAACGCTAAATCGACGTAAGCATTTTTGAACAGTTCGAGCTTTTTGTGTCCTTGGACAAGCTAAAAGTAACATGAAAAACGAAGTGAACAAACAGTTACAACTAGTAAAGATTTCATAACATAGTGTATGGAAACGACTCTTACGTGCAAAAACCCAGACATGAAAATATTGTTACAGTATGTCGATAACTAACGAGTAACTCAGATTGTTAGCTACTTTGTTTCATATTATCCCGTAAAGAAAAATGTTTCTGCAACTAAAAGACAACAATTACATAGAATATCATTAGATAAATGGACAAGACAGCTTTTAGCAAATCACTTGACAATATACAACTTATCACCATCTGTCGATAACACTGGCCATAGAGAAACAAAATTAAATCACTTAAATACAGAAAAGTACAATTATGGTGAAATATAATTACAAACCTTAAACAGTTCTAGGCATACCAGCCCAGCCACCAAACTAGTTGTTGTTGCAATTGCAGGGATAATTTTACCAGCAATTAATTTACTTTTTAGTCGGTCAGCTGGAGGGATTTCATAGTTCTCAGCCCTTAAATTGCTTGCTGTGGTGATGAAGTCCATATGAAAATTCGTATCATCATCTTTCTCAAATTCAATCACGTTGATATGTATTCTTGAAGTGTTGCCTTTGTAGTAAAAATGAAACCGAAACGAGAAACATGAAATCACAGCTAACACAAAAATATTAGGCTATTCAACAGTTTCTTGTAAACAAAACAATACCCTAGTGCCAGTGTAGTGTCATTTTGTAACGTCTTTAGCTTGAAAAGAAGCACTTATAGTTTAGAAAAATTACCCAGTCATCTAATAAATATCCAACTTATTAATTAGTCGGTCACATTAGTGAAGTCAATTTGTACTTTAAAAAACGATGTCTGAGAAATTGAATACACCTAGATTTTCCATGGTAAGACCAAACTGAAGAAATGATTGTAAACAAACATTGTGTAGAGACTTGATTAACTAAGACTTAGAGTATTGACTACTGAAACTATCATCAACATAATCCAATAAATCCTTTGACATTAGTCGAAGCGCTTGTATACTTCCTAGGGGTAGGTAAATAAACAGAACGAAGATATTAGTGTAAAACCTCACATTAAAATTTACACATTTGAGTTACCACAATTTCTAACAGAGTAAATAATGGAAGGATATTTGAATAACAAGTGGTATGTGAAAGGGCAAAGCAAATAAAAATATTACTGTAGAGTTGGAACACTTACGCTTATGCTAACTATTTTGGACTATATCGCCCAACGCATCAAATCATTTTTATTAGGCTAGAAACGGTACGCATCCAAAACATAAAATGGTTAAAGTTAGGCTGGTCAATTATTTAGAAAAAACACCTGCATTTCACAATACGTAAAAAAAATAAATACTGGAGAATCAACTCTCTGAAAGTATGCACAGATATAATAGGAAAAAAATAGGTGCTCTTGTAGCTGGCACATAGTGAAGTACTTACTGAAACTACGTAAAGCTTTCTGAAGTTTTTCAAGTCGAGATGTATCAGTCATAGGTGCAGCTGACCTTGCTTGAGCCTCTGCCTCGGTTACATCAATCCGTACGCCTGATCGAGGAACAAACGGAGGAACAACTACACTTTGAACAATTTCGGAAATCTTGGACAGGTTTCGACATTGAGGGATACCATAGCATTCAGCGCGAAGGTTTGAAGCCGCCGAAATAAATTCCAAATGTGTTGTCTATAATAAAAATATCAAATATGCAATTCGAGAGTTTTTACGAAATGGTTAAAAAAGTTTGTGGCTTAAACCGCACCCAATATATTGAAAACCCAGCTTTTCGTGAACTTCGAAAACAGTGTAACGTACTGTAACTTAGCAACCTTGTGCATTATTAGACGTAAAGCTATCGCCCGAATGCATTTTAAGGGTATTATTGACATTACTTAACTATTTAGAAGATCGATAAACAATAATGAATTTGTTTGGTCTAAATGTTATAGACAGGTTATTCTGTATATATTGCTATAAAACAATGTAGTCTAAACGGTTCTTATTTAACTGTGGGATGAACAAGCATTTTGTTCAATGTTTTCGTTGATTAGCATTTCGAATTCCACAGTGAAAACTGTAGCTAACACACATACTGACTAACAGAAGTCTTTCAAAAATAGTATACATTTCTTGACACATCATCTACGACCCATGCTCAAACGGTCGTGTTGGTTTTCAAGCCGCATGTAATATGAGAAGCAATTATTCACCAGCTAAGCTTTTCAAAAACTAATGATAGATACATGGAACAGCGTTAAGATACAAGTGGAGATGACAAATAAGCGGTTGAGAAAAATTTTCTAATCCTAGAATAAACGATTACTAGAAATTCGGTGATAACAATGAGTAACCGGAAATAAACGAAAAAAGTCATTTGTGAAGTAAATTGATGAATGCTTTTTCTACTACATGCACTAGGTTTCCGAACATAAGTAAAAAAAAATTAATTTGGACGAACTCAAAAGAAAAACTCACATCTTGTACATTAAACTGCAATGGATGAGGGCATCGTTTGGTTCCTGACCAAAAATCAGAACCAGTTGAAGTGACATGGTCGCGAGGGAAATTGAACAAAAGTTGTGCGATTGTGTTTGAAAACAAATCCTAAAAAAATACTCACTTTAAACATATATATCAAATGACAAAATTTTATTCACTAGTTAATTGTAGAATACTGAATAGTCAACGGCTTTAAGCGCTCCAGTATATTTACTCTGTGTATTAAAACAATAGTAAGGCTGAGATTTTACAGTGATGGACTTAAATTGTATCTATTACAGATTAGTATACGCTAGAGGATGTTGAACAAACCTAGTGTTTATCCAAGCGATATGAATACTTCAAAGGAATATAATAAAAATAAATGCTTAATGAACTCATACTTGTAGTGAAGATAGAACCACCTTAGCTGAAGATTTCAACTGGATTGATAAGATGGATCGTTATATCACATTGTACACAAATGTATGTCTTAAACAAAATGCGAGCATAGTTGAAATGGTGAAGATTTATAGCTCAGGCGAATGATTTTGGTGGGGTTTCGTTCTCTCAACTGAATTATTTGGTTGACCTAAAGTTTGTGTTGATGTTGTTTAGAAGAACGATGACCGCAACCAAACCATCCAGGTCAGGAAATGAAATTCCACCAAACGCAAGCAGAGTTCCCAATCATCCACTAGCTAAACTACTACAAGCGCCTTAATCAAATAATTAGTTTCCCCCTAGTGTGGTACACACGATTCGATTGACTTGTTGTGGAGAGCTCTTACCTCTATGAACAGCACTCTTCTCAAGTAGCTGTTTTAGATATTTCTAAAATCATGGTAAGCGTTTTAAATTAGAGCCTGAAAAGTAATGCGGACAAAACACCAGGCAGGTATGCTTGTTACTTCGGAAAAGACAGCCACTGAAATCGAAACGCTTAAGAATTTCATTCATCAACCACGTGAGAAATACCGAAAATGAATTCCTTAACAAGCAAATGATTTAAAGACATTGTACTGATGTTTCACATTTCTGGTTTATTTGTTATATTACGCAATAAATCGGAAATAACTCTTGAGGAAATTACTGCTTACTACTAGTGCAGCAGAAATATCTGATATCAATAAAATTGGAACGGTAAAAATCACAACTAGATAGGTCAAGCTGGACCTAATTTAAACCATAATTAGTCACAGGGTCATCGAGATCGTTAGGATAGGTGAAATACTGGAATTATGAGGTACGACAAGCAAACAAGTACGATGAATGAAAATTTGATGAAGACATGTCAGATTTTCGCACTTACCTGCCAGAGTAATCTAGCCCAAGTAACACAATCTTCGAAACTATTTGGTCTTTTGTCTAATAAATTTGTTTTCAAAGTTTCTAGTGTTTCCAAAGGTTGATTTCCTTGATTTGATAATGTTCGTTCTAAAAAGCCAGGCGGATCCTAAAAGGTGAAGAAATAAGGACAGGATTGTTTCATATTAATCTAATCAAGGTAAAAACTCAAAAATCTGAGATTAGCAGATGTAAGACTTCAATTATGTCCCAAACAAGTTTTTTCCAGTTTATATATTGATTGCATGCAGAAAGTAGCAAAAACCAGGTGTGAAAGTACCATGACTGGAAGAGGTCCAGTTTATTTTCATGGTCAGTGTATTACTATTACGAGATTTTACTTCTATAGATGTACTCATTTTCAGATTAAAAGAAATAATTTTTCACATTATTCAAATCCCCATTGGTTACTGCTTTTATAAGTGTTTTGAATCAGAAAAATATAAAAATTGAAGAGCACAGAAGACTTACAAACTGTCTGGTTCATGCTTAGCAATTATATTACACAGTTGATCATTTTACGGTGGATGGAGCAGACTTAGACTAGATGGATAATCATTTATCAATGCCATTAAAGGGTCTATACACGTAGAAAATGTGAACCCACAAATGACTGATATTAGATGTCACAACCCCAATATAGCGCAGTTGTTTCTTGAAAATCGAATTGATACTCAAATACTAACTCGTCAACAAAAACTATCACATGATACATGTGACAAATACCCAGATATCACACTGTATCCTACAGAAAGAAACTTTTGACTCCATTGATTTTGAGAAATAAATTCTAATGAAACATGTCAATAAAATGTGCGTTACGTAAATGAAGTGAGAAAACTGTGAAGTAATAAATTCCAGAAGGGCAGTAAAACCAACAACTAACCAAGAACAGGATTTAGTCAGAAATATTGCTCAGTTGAAAACCAAAACTAAGAAACTTCATTTAGTGAAGAGAATTCTAATTTTTTAAGAATGTTATAAAAAAATACAACCAGATCCCTATTAGCTTATCAGTCAGTCAGTAACAATGTAGAACTTCGTACGTAAGTACGTACGTACGTACATCAGTTCAAGTGGCCATACCACATTCGCACAGAGATGCAGTTATCGATTCAAATCCCACAGTGGTAGAGGTAGTACAAGTATAAGCAGTAATCGGAAAGATCAGGGTTTGAAGATGTTACTTGAAGGAGTATAACCCAGTGAAATAAATTTGGGGAGAAAAAAGAGCACATGAAGAATTCAGATTAGAATTTTAGAGAACACAAAGAGTGGATGCACCTGCGCCATTGCAAACGATTTTGAGCCATTTCATTCAAGGTCTCTAACCATCGGTTGCTATCATCTCGCGGTCCCCAACCAGGAAGTCTACACCAACCAACATGGCTCAATCCACTTGTCAGTGACTTCATGGATTTGTGCCATGTTTTGGTCTGGTCGCCCCTAGCATTCTTCCAACCTACTCCTACACCAGAAAACATCGCACGTCGTGACAGTCGGTGGTCAGGCATGCGCAACACATGTCCCAGCCATCTCAAATGATTGAGTTTCACTACTTCATCAATTGATTTGCCATCCTTACCTAGCACCCGTTTCCTAACAACTGAGTTACTTACTCGGTGGTCCCAGGATATACTAGCAATGTTTCGAAGATATCTATGGTCGAATACTAGGTGTTAGGTCTAAATTCCACTCTAATGCAATTTTTATTACCAAAACGCTATTTCATGAAATGAAACCCTGTCTTCATCACCCAGATCCACAGTTGACAAGTGATGCATAATATGAAAGTAATTGGGATAATATTCCTAAACCATGAACATACTGTCGAAGTCGGTGTTTCAACATAGTTGCACCAACTGAACTGACGTCAATACATTTGAGGATCTCATTATGACTGATATGGTTACCAACGGAAGTGAGCGGCCCTCTGGAGATAAAAATGATCGAACAAAACTGCCTAACACCCTCAACTCGGAGAGGCTATCTCACAACCACAGAGGAGGACCGTCCTTGTCAACGCACTGGGTCTAACGACATACCGTCAGGCTAACGTCAGAACGGCACCAACGTTAGTCCACAGTGAAATAAGTTGCTCTGGATCTCACTTTACGTAGGTTGATCCGATTTTTCACTCCACTACAAGCACCAAAACAACTACTCAGACCCATGAACTTCTCGATTATCTCTAATGGTTCACCATCAAGAGTGGGTCCAGGCCTTTTATGATATCATCTGTCCCAAGTTTTCTTTCCCATCTCATCAAATAAATAGCATATTGTTTTCTAAACAGGATTAAACATCCAGATCTGAATAGCAACCTTATCAGTTTACCAGTCACGTAAAATGTAGTTCTTATGAGTTCAGTTTACACTAGAGTCATAGGTTAATTGGTTAAATTGAAGGACCATAACAAACGGAATTTATATAAGATTTTACCACACATAAAATTTCACCGGTATGAAATATAAACAAATATGTCATCATGATTTGAACGATAGTACAAGGACATATAGATCAAGACACTTTTGATGACAAGTATTCCCAGTATTTCGCTAACGTAATGATTAACTAACCTGTAAAAACGAACTCATTGCTTGTGACTGGTGAACGAAAAGTCCTTCAAACAGATCGCGTGCCCATTGGAGGGTATGCTCAATCAGATAAGGGAAGTTTTTTAGAGTGCAGGCAGGGAATGATTTTTCTGGAGGGTCCTGTAAAACGAGAAACAAACTGGGAGTCACACACCGAGAACCTCTTTTATTTTAACATTAACAAAGACCGTCACCAAGAATTCAAGACGAACTGAAAAGTAAAGTGAGCTCACTAACAGCTATTATAAACTTGACTATTTTCTACTTGCATATATCTGGTAAGTTTCTAAATATATATAACGCCAGTATCAGTGTCAAAATTACCCTGATGATTCATTGTACCAACTTTCAAGATTAACTATTCAGGTTAATTAAAGGATGAACGATAAATGAACTCAAGCTTAACAAAGATGAAGGATCTTGTATAACTAGTCAGTCTAATGTAAAATTAGCGTCTTCAAGATTTGTTCTACAATAACACACTTCGATCTTTATTGAGAATTGTTATTGCTTGTGGTCATGTGCATTATTAATATATAACGTAATGATACTGACAATTAAACAGTGATTCATCGGCCGGACCAATGACGCGTTAACCCATACGAGCAGTCTACAGTAATTATTGGTCCTTCTCCCTGTCTAGCCCTGCCTGTTAGAGTCTAGAACACTAATCTCAACCTCTGCGATATGAATCATGTATTTCAAACATACTGAGTTTATACACAAACCAAGCAGACCACATTCTACCACAAAATAGAAAACAATATTTCTATAAATCTAGCCAAAAGTAGCTGTAAATGTGGGAGACTTTAATTAATAGACTGGGCATAACTCAAGAACGGTAAATCAGATAATAAAAGTCAAAATAAAGCTTATAATAAGAGGAACATGCATAGTTTAGCTATTTAAGTTATACAATAAAAATATATGTATCGTATTGGTCCATAAATAGTTATTAAATCTACCACTCGTAATTCTCGTTGGGATATAACAAAAATTAAATGAATTATTTACATAGATCCTTTATAATCGACTTTACGAAGCTAGTCTCAAAATGCAGACCTCTACATAATGTCAAGTCACTCAATGGCAACATTATTATTAATACAACTTATTTATCGATACAAGTTAACGTAACCAGATTGAACTACAAGAGCAGGTTATACTAATCAGCTGTTCAAATCGAAGTAGATACTTCGGGATTTCAATAAGTGACCTCATGTTTGAAATTCAAGTGCTTAAGCTACCACTTTATTAGTAGTAGACATACAGCATATATTTTGATCAGAAGTACAGATTACTGCTTTAACGTTAATGGACCTTTTAGATGTTTCATAAAAAGTTATAACTGTTTAGCTTACTTGTGAAGATGAGTACGATTCTGTCAAATAAGGGATAACAACCTGTACATTACCCTTAGTTCCCAGGGTTCCAGATTCTAAAAGAGGTTTGCGATAATAAACACAACGACGATCAACATAAGTGCGGGCCTCAACGTTGTCTAACGCATTAGCAATTCCATCCAATTTTTCGAAGAATTCGTCGTCATATATTTTCTCTGTCTCCGGTCCAACACGATTCTCATGAGCTTCAATATTAAGCTAGAATAAAATAAATACGCGTCGTCATTAATTCGTATACATCACAACCCTGACGTTCAAAAAAATTTTAAATGGATAAGCCAACCGTAGAAAACTTTGTATGGGTTTAGATCGTGATGAATACAACATCTGACGTCAACGCTTCTACAGTACAATATTGAGAAATATAAAAATAACGGAAATGACAAGCGATTTCCATTTGTTTGAGATTAAAATATTTCTGCGCAGTAACTGATTAAAGCAGATCAAAAAAAGTCTTATGAACTTCCAGACGGACCTTGAAAAGTTGTCTAGTTTGTTACGATGCCAGTACTGATTATAGCTCCTAACAGTATAATACAGAGTCAACGCAAGATTCGGCGGGGATATGTGGTGCGATATATCATTATTTACATAGACACCATAAAAAGTGACCCTTAGTAATCGTGCCAAGATTTTGTCAGTTATTAAGTCACTAACGTAGATGAAATTTCTGTGATAGGTATTATTCAGACCCGTTTTTTGCTTTCGTTAAGATCTATTCAACTTTGCGGAGTTGAACTAACGACGACACTCAGTCATGTAGTCTGTCGGTGAATATTATTTAATTAAACACATTTTTACGAATGAGGGACCAAAATATACATGTGCTACACAAATCATTGAATTTGTGTAGGCTGGGATACTGCCCGAATACCCGAACCGAAACAGGTAGATTTCTTAAGGGACCACTCCTCGACTCCTTAACCCAGAGGTCACATCCACGATATAGTGAAGCAATGTCAGGAGATGCGATACCATAGTAGCCAGTGACAAACAATAGTTTCATACACTTGTTCTTTCGGGATCTTGAAGCCCAAATGCACCGTTGGTTTGGAATCACGGTTTTCAAACTTCCACAGGTACATGCACCGTACCGACTAACCCGATTTGAGCACCGGATATCCACTTTATGTGGAAGTCCCTTTTGTCAGTCTACACTGGCATAATAAGAGTAGATTAATATGTAGTATAAAAGAGTCATCAAAGTGCAGCAGGAATCAAGCCACAATTTAAAATCCTGAAGGAAAACAGAAAAGAGAGAGGCGAAAGAACACGAGTATACATCAAAAGGATGAATAGCAATTGAAAGGCTTACCCCAGATAGGGTTGGATGGAGAATGCTAGAGGGTAGCTTATAAACCTCCACCAAAAGTGACAGGCGTAAGTAAATATGTAAGTAGGTAAGTAAGTAACCACACAAACCTGAAAGAGGTGTGTTGTAAATATATTCAAAACATCATCAATTAAGACCTGGACTGCAACTTCGATTATGGGAGTCTACGAAGTGCTACCAGCATACAACCGAGTCCCTAGGTGAGCGGTTCAGATTTCCAGCATGGAATAATGAATTAGAAGTGAATTGATTAACGAGATTGTGAAACTTTATGGACTGGGATTGTTGGGACACATGTTACACCTCAGTGACTGGTTAATGCAATAGTAGTCGGTAAAAAGTGAACAGTGGAAATACGAAGACATGATATCAACTAAGAAAGTTACTAACTGTTAGACCGAGCTGTGTCGATAGATACAATCAGAGTTTGCATGGTCATAAACGCTAACCATAGTTTGCATGATAGTCGTAATTTATGGTTGGAAGCAATAATAGATGGTTTAAAAGCTTATATAACTGCATAGATGCGAACATGAGCAGAACATTATGCTATACGTTTCATTCCTCAAAGTAACTTACTCCATATGATATTCTATTAATTATTTAAAAATTCCTATATTTATCAAAATAAGGAATGTATGGGTAGGGTGAATAATATTCTTTAAAGTAAATCCTTATTAGGTTCTACAGTCACAAATCTAAATTAGTGTTACAAAAGCGATAGGCAGGTTCAAGGCAAATAAACTTTTTCCCAAATTACAGTACAAGAAATTAGAATTAAAGAGGAAGAATGTATCTGTAAAATTTCAGAGAAAGAATTTGAAGTAAATCCAACGTTTCGCCTGGCAATCTGGTCCAAGCTTTTTCAAGGAAAATATCATCAAACAACCTTGGGTGACATGGCTCAGAATCTATCACAATGTCGTAGGTGTATACACTCTCTATCTTCCCTTAAACTATGAACTACGAACTAATTCTTCCTGCATTATATCCTTACATGCAATCTTTTTATATATATCACTGCCACTGAATTAACTACTTTTATGAATTTGGTGTTCATCTTGTGCTAATGAGGTATGGTAACTTGGACCGATGCATATATGTGCTTGGTCCTACGTTGTAGCTGACTGTATTTTTACCACGAAATATTCAGTCAGATATCCCAAAGGCGAATTATGAGATTAAAAAAATCCCGCCTTTTTTACCCGACAGAAGAGCGAGGCTTTCATAAAATTAAAGTAATATTTATGATAAGTGAACATCACATTTCGAATTGTGATGCTGTTTTTGTTGACTCAATCATAACTTTATTATAAGATATTTTTACTAAAATGTTTTAACTTGTAACCCATCTAGGCTTTAATGCAATGGAAACTCAAAAACTAAATGATTCACATCTCATGCGATATAAGACAGGTAGCATAAGTCGTTATAGGAATACTATGGTGGAAAGCTAATTACTGCGTTATAAAAGTCGAACGATACGACCAACCTCTGGATTTATCATTTTAGCAGCGGTTGATGCCACGACTGATTTCATTTTATGGATATCCCATGGACGAAAGAGGAACTGTCTGTTTAGATTTGATCTTTCGATGAGATCCATGTCCGTCACAACAATTTTTCCAGACGGTCCTGCACCAACACCCATCAACGAGAAGTTTTTTAGCAGCTCGCATCCAATTGCACCTGAACCAACCTGTAAACGCAGTTATACGAAGTAAGTAAAGCTTACAATAAAATACTTCAATCCTTTCAGCTTCTCCTGAAACGCACGTCCGAATATGGCAATCTGACCATCATAACGAGATCCAATTGGCTTTGCATCATTCTCTGAGACAACGAAATCTTCATCTGAACTCATTGAGAGGCACTCAGTTGCATCGAAATACATCCACTGTTGCAGAGGCGTGAACTTACCGCTGCAAGCCTTCATAACTTCTTGAGCAGCGAAACTGCCTATAAGAGACTACTTAAATTAAATTAAATCAAACAAATTTCATACCAAAACGGGGGAACATTGACCTGAACAAACGCATCCAAATAGCATAGCTAGTTTTTCATCAATTGATGAGACTGAAGCGTTTGTGTTTTCCATTTGTTTATTGACTTTATGGACAAAGTCCACAAAAGTACGGGAATCTGTCTTGCACCAAGGTTTAGGATGAAATCCGTTGCTATTCTTATAATCACTGAGGGCCTTAAAGAAGAGATGGATCTGTGCGGGACGCTCAGTTTTAACGAAATCTGTCGTCATGAAAACTGGGGAATAATAGGCTGTTTGATAAGGTAGCTGCAAAGAAATAGTACTAAGATATATGAGACTTACAAAGTTGACTTTTAAAGGCATTTTAACAAGCGTACACATCCCACCAGATATGTATGGACTAAAATTAGACGTGTCACCAATGGAGAATACGTCAGGTCCTAGAAAATTAAATAATATGCAGAAACGATACTTACCAACAACTGTGATTCTTCGGGGTTGACAACCATTTAACTCCACCATCCCTTTTACTTCAGAAAACGTTACATAGTCACCGTCCTGAAACCCATGACGAGTCTCCTCCAAACAAGTTACAAGTCCTTGTTTGCTCTAGACAATATTTTCATTAGAAAACATTTTACCTTTTCTATTTGCTGAATCATGACTGAAGATGGAACTTCACCAGTTGAGTCATACACTACGAAATCTGTCCCAAAGTCACAAAACACTTTGCCAAAAAGTCCGCATGTTGAAGCCACGACGAATTTGACACCTAAACTTCGACAAATATCTCCATATTCCACGCATAGGTCTTCAGATCCCTGGTTTAGCACCACTACGCTAAACTTTCTAAAGTCTTCAGCACCAAGTTTATGTTTGTTTAACACGCGGACAGATACATGATTATTCAACTCGCTTAATTTATTCTTACAAATTTCAGCACGCGGATGGCCTATGTCATTAAGGTCCGCAAAGTAGTGAGATGTGAGGTCAGCTATACATAATGGAGTGTCATCACACAACGTTACAGATTTAACTCCAGCCAGAATGATATTCTTAGCGACCTCGAGCCCAAGTCCTTCCAGGCCAATAACTAGAATGTCTGTTGTCGCCATTCGGCGCATGCCTTCGGCCCCGTAGACATAAAGTTGCCGACTATAAAGACTTTCGTCCAAATCAGGAACTTCTCCGTTAGCTTCCATCCCCTGTAAAAGAATTATATTATTTTAACTTACAACTTACGTTTGACAAGTTGTTGTTGGTAATTGTATGAAAATTGTTATTGTTGTTTTCTGTAGAGGTCAGTATTTTTTGTCGTTTGGATGGAGGAGTTGGAGACATCTAAACACCAGAAATGTCATTCAGGCCTTACAAGACTTAGGGTACCAAATCAAGTAGCGAAACATCCAAGCTTAGTCAAACACAAGTATTGTACGTATGACGTGAAAATTATGCAACATAAAAAGTCTCATAGTGCAATATAGGGTGAGATTGATTATTAATGAATTACTTTATATATGTAAATTTAACAAATACATACTTAGATGTCTGTTGAAACACCGTTTACGTATCGCCATACTAAACAATCATTGTAACAAATCGCGAAGTGTACAAGTTGTACGAATACCAGAAACTTAGCCTCCAAATATTATTTCTGGACCTTAATCCTGAGCTTTAGGGAATCCGACGTTGTAACAACGCGAAAAAACTTACAAATTTGAATACACTTGTAAGGTTGGTGTGCTGTGGCGGCATATAAACCCTCGATATAAGTAGTTTCGTAGGTCTTCAAGACTGATTCTGACCTAATTAGCCTTAATAGACACACGCTAGACAAGATTTTTTGGTCAATCATCCGCACCACCACACATCCTTCGAGACTAGTCAGTTGAGGTCATATAGTTCTGGACATACCGAGTACCTTTGAAACACTCCTTCGAACTCCTTCAATACTGGCCTCTGGTTTGACTGTTTTGGGGTCTTATGATCATAAGCGTTCCACGGAAACAGCGTTGTCGAACACTGAATATCCCTGATATCCTTTGTCCGTTTCGAAGGAAAACGTCCCCTCTTACCAGATCATGCTTGTGAAAAGTAAGCATTTAAGATTTTGAAAAATTCTAGTTCCCGACAAATTGCTGAATTTAGAGAAATCTCTGCCAACAATCTTCAGGAACTATTGCATAGCTGCACTTATGGATATCGTAACACAACCCACGGATTGTATCGCCCAATCCATAAAAGAATACACTGACGACCAACTAAAAGCTCCGAATTATTCATCGAAACAGGAGAAGACATGGGAGGAGTTAAAGCCAAGAGTTTCTGCGAACATATTTGCCTCAGCTTTTAGATAAGAATAAATCAACTGAACCTACTGTGGTGATGAATAAATCCCCAAAATAAATAGTTATGTAAGTTTTCAAAATTGGATGCTGACAACAGTTTTAGTGGACTCATCTAGCTAATAGCGCTTGTTCATGCATTCGCACCAGATCACGTGTGGGAACGCCGTGCTCAACATCTACTGCAATCGCCAGCCAGATTAGATCAGACGATCCTCGATATATCGATAGCTTGTCAAATATATCTTCGAACCTCCTCGCTTCTGCCTTTTGATTTCACTTTTTGGGTACACTTCATATTAGGTGTTACTAGTTAAAGCGTTATCAAACTCTGAATACCTCTGGCATCTTCATTGGTGAGCCCGACGTGATCTGGTACACCAAATTGCAAACTGTGAGTCTGTTCCTTCTTGTGATTTTATATGTCTTTGTCTTATTTTAATTTTTTTATACATTGTGATATTTTTTCACCTGTTTTTGGATATATATATTTCCCACTCGTCCATTCTTGTACTTAATATATAACTATGACTGAACAGACTGTAGAATTATGGTCTACTATGATATTAGCACTGCTCTAATAGTAGACCTAGTCCTAAAATTGTAGATTTGTCATGATGTAACTGCCTAATCTATAAGATCTTACGTGGAAGTTACTTTATCGTCTACACCAACTCATTGAATTGTAACAATTACCAATACGTGATAGAGAACAAGCTTATGCTAGAGACAGAATATATTTAATATGAATAAAAGATACAAGATAACATTCAGCTGGGACCACGCCTGCAAGGCCGAGCCATGCCATCCGATCAACTCGGACTAATTCAATTTATTCCTTATTCCCGCCTTCTCCATTGTTGGATATTTCCCAGCGTTAAATGTTGAATGTCTATTTTCCATTTTGTCTCGTGTTAGGGCTCAATGCCACTACACTACTCTCCCACCAGAATCAACGTGACGTTGGTTCGGTACCAATTTGAGTGGGATTGTCGCGCGCCGGAGGTTACCAAGACTAATTAGAACCCTCCGGGTATTGATAAGCTGAAAGATAAATCAAAAAGAAGGTAGCAGCATCTGGTGGGGAAACACATGTAATAATTTCAACACATCTGATTGCATATTTAACACGATTAAAATGAAAATTTAGGTAAATATTATTCGAGCTAAACAAAGTGGGATTATAATAATAATAAAATGACTCCGTGTAGGGGTATTTTAATGAGTCGCCGTAATAATAATAATAGAACGTAAGATGCGTGTTAATATCCGTTGGTTAATAACTTAACTTATAGGTAGTATTTTGTGTTTATAAATATTAAAAGCAATCCATATTGTAAAAATGCTAATATTGGTATTAGTTTTGGTTTAAATTATGAAATTAAATAACGTTTATGCCTGTAAGCTGCCCATATGAGTTGATTTCCAATTGGATCTGTATTAGTAGGCTAACTGAAAGAACAAAGGTGTTACCATAGAGAAGAATTCCAACTAGTGTTCCAGTTAGTTTGATACGGTTTATTTATTTATGGGGAGATTTTCTCGACCTCATTTTTACTTGACCGTGATAGAATTTAGTGATACTACTAATACATATGAATGGTTATCAAAAAGAAAAGTTTTTTAATATGTGAAAAGTGATAATCATGTGGATTTCGGACAGATAGATAAGAGCGATTCGTTAAACATGAGTGTATTCGTAAGAGACATGCTCTAGACTCCATGTTCTGACTTGCCATAGACTATTTATTTATATTTATATCTACCGGCTGATGGTGCTGTTATATCTAGAAATGGTTGATTTACTTGATATAACGAGTACAACTGAACACACGAACGCCCAAACCCTTCCAAGTCACAAAGAGAAGACAGAAGACTAGTGAAAGGAATGTTATTCCAAACAGAGTCAATTATGGGTACAAATTGTCAGGTATTTATAGTTTTAGTAAGAACAAAAATCATCATTATAGTCCTCCAATCCGCATACAGGGGGTTATTAGCCTTGTCCAATCGGGAAGCTACACGTAGGGATTCTAGAATATTCTTGCTAACGGTGATTGGCTGGAATATCTTCGGCTCCTTCTGAGCCTCTTATAGCTTCCTCGAGTTTACTCGCGGTCCGTCGTCACACCTCCCTCCTTTAAAGTCCGTTGTGTAAGACTTCTTTCTCGGATCCACCTGGAACTTTGTGGTCGCATTCCTCTTACGGTCCATCACTCTCGGGGGTTGTACAACTTTTCCCTTGCGTCGTTTTCCTCCTCTATGTTTGCGCTCATGATGGCTTTTCTGAGGTGAATCCACGAGCAATTGAAATGGGAGCCGGCTTCCTGGGACCATTTTACTGCTGTCTCTTTGCATTTGATTTATGTGTCTTATGCATTTTCCGACACCCTTCCGGACTAGGTACGGTACATTTCCGATTCGACGTTCTATGACACCTGGTTCCCATCTCCTATTACCTTGATAGGCTTTGACAAGTACCCTTTCACCCACCTGGAAGCTACGAGTGATCGTACGATACTCATTCATCGGTTTTCTTGTCTTCCTAGGTGGCAACATACTATTGAAGACTGTGCGAATTTTTCTTCCGAACATACACTCGGCTGGTGACTTTCCTTCTGGTACTGCCGGATTGGGGGTAACTCTGTAAGACATTAGGAACTTACTGATCACTTGTTCTGGGATACCCTCACCTCTCCCCTTTACCAGAGCTTTTTTTATCGTATCCACGAATCTTTATGCTTGGCCATTCGACTGAGGATGGTACGGAGGAGATTGTAGATGCGATATGCCATTTTCACTGCAAAAGCGTTTGAAAGCTGATGACATAAACTGAGTGCCGTTATCGGTCACTAAGATCTCTGGAACCCCAAAACAAGCAAACAATCCTGACAATCTTTTTATTGTACTGTCTGATGTCGTTTTCGGAATATCATATACTTCTGGCCATTTTGTAAAAGCGTCGACAACAACTAAGTAATTTCTGCCTTGTATTGGTCCGGCAAAATCGGCGTGTATTCTTTGCCAAGGCCCGTCCGGTTTTGGCCATGGTTGTGGTTCAGCTTTTGTTGGATTCTTCGCAGCCTCTAGACAGGACCAACAACTGCGACATTTTTGTTCTATATCACGGTCCATTGTCGGCCAATATGCATAGCTGCGAGCTAGTGATTTTATTTTACTTATCCCCGGGTGCCCGCTGTGAAATTGCTTAATGACTTGGTGCCGAAGGCTTCTATGGATAACGATACGGTGGCCAAACATGATGCACGAGTCGACAACTGTTAGGGAATCTCGTCGACGAAAATATTGTAAGAGTTCGCCACGTAGTCTAGATGAAGGCCACTTGTTGAGTATGCAGCGGTGAACAATCTTCAATGTATTATCCTTCTTGCTAGCTTCTTTAATGGCTTCGAATGTTACCGGGAGTCCGGAAACTGCGTCTGTTAATACTTTGTGAACTTCAGCCTCGACTTCTATGGCAGCTACAAGCACGTCCTCTTCTTGTTTTGTATGCGAATCAATCAACCTTGAGAGGGCATCTGCCTGTCCGAAGTCGGTTGTTGGTTGGTACTTTATCTTGAAATCATAACCCAGTAGCGTAGTTGCCCATCTCTGTAACCGGTTTGCTGTATATACCGGGATACCTTTTTTAGATCCGAATACTGTCAGTAGCGGTTTATGGTCTGTTAGTAAAGTGAACTGTCTGCCAAACAGCATCTTGTGAAACTTTTTTACAGCGAATATGATGGAGAGAGCTTCTTTCTCAATCTGACTGTAGTTTCTTTCAGTCATAGTCAGCGATCTTGCTGCGTGGACGATTGCTTTCTCAGACCCGTCAGGATAGGTATGTGAAATTACAGCTCCGATTCCATAATTTGACGCATCTGCCGCGACTATAATTGGAAGATCTGGGTCATAATGTGTAAGTAGAAGGTCTGATGTTAGGAGCTGCTTTAGTTTTAGGAATGCTTCTTGACATTCGGTTGACCAAAACCATTTGGTATCCTTTTTCAGTAAGCAATTAAGTGGAGCACGAAGGCGATGCAGATCTGGAAGAAAGACGCCATAATGACTAACCATTCCCAAGAAAGAACGTAAAGTTGATACATCCGTCGGTGGGGGCATGGACTTGATGGCTTCAACGTTTTCAGGATCAGGTTTTCTCCCGTTTTTATTGATTATTAATCCCAAATAACGGACTTGCTCCATGTAAAAATCACATTTTTCAGCACGCAACCT